CCTAGGTGCACATTCAGACAACTAACTGAGGGTGGCTGTTCGCCCCTATTGCCCCTAACTGTAACCTTATTCTGTTTTCTGTAAGGAGTTAATCCAGGGTTCAATCTCCAAAGCTGCATTGCATAAATAATTATTTTTCCGGCCAGTAGTTCTCATCTTATTATATTAGACTAGGGATCAAGTATACCAAACATGTACCATAAATTTTTTACAGGTTCTTTCCTTAAACTGACAGACAAGTGTCTGAAACACTGTCCCAGGATAAAGTGAAGAGTCTCAGCATTCATCGATCTTATATTTTATTCGAGTATGAAAATTTTGCACATAAAACTTTAAAATATTTGGAACATATTCCTAAATATGCTTTACTGTTAAATAGCAGTAAAGGAGAATACTATATATTATGCGGAAGTGAAGTTAAAACTCACCTGCCACTTAAGAAAAATCAGCCAAGAGTAGCAAAAACAAGTCTTGACCGCAGCCCAGGGTGTATGAAGCACACGACTTGCAGCCTCTCCTTGATCTCCAAGGGAAGGTCTTCATAAAATTGGAATATCCAATTTACTACTTTACAACGATAACAAGTTTGGTATTTGAATTTTAGTATAATTGCTTTTTTACCTAAAAAAGAAAAGGAGCAGGTGCGTAATGCATGTTCTAGCTACTCACCGGGGGAAGTGGTCATGTGCTTGTCCTTTCATTAATTTACATGAAAATATTAGAAAATAATTAGATACCATTTGGTTCCATGCACATGTCGATACTTAAGGTGGTTCATTTATTAAATTATAAAATAAATATAATCAATTCAATTAATTCTTTTATCTTATATATTGCATTTTTAAGTTTTTACACTTTTAATTTCAAATTAAAAAACAATAATTTTTTGATGAGTATGTTGTAAAATGTATTGAATTAGAGAATATTTGTATCAATGTCTAAAATATTTTGTTGATGGTTTCACATTTGAACTTAAGATGGTTGAGAAGGGGTTTAGAATTGTTAATTATTTCTTATGATTGTATAACAAATCATGTGACGCAATAAAAACATAAAAAATATTTAAATATATGTTGTTAATTAATTTGCTAACATGCACATAAATGTCCAAAGTTTTGTATATATATATATATTTTTCAACGGCAATAGTGGAATACAAGGATACTCAACCCTTACATCATCTAATTGTTGTCACTAGACACAATATGTATTAAGTTTTGTATATTTCAAGTTAATTAGCTGCTTTGTGAAAGAATTACGTGAAATGTTTAATGTAGAAAATTAAATCAATGGAGCTAGATTTTAATTGACTTTGTTGAAGTACAAGACTTAATTTAATAAATTATCTATTAACTTTTAATTATTTCATTTTAATTTAAAACTTTTATTTTCTTTTAAAGTCATCTATTAACTTTTAAAATTATATCAATTTCATCTATAGAACACAATTGTGTTACTAAGATTGACGGAAGTCCACGTCATTGATTACGTGGTGATGCATAAGCAACACATGGTGAGAATATCTCATGTTTGTTATTTTAATGAGGTTTTATTTTAACTAGATTATATTATAATTTAGTTATTTATTGCTAATTAGGTTAGGGAAACAAA